TTGTTCTCTGGTGGCAGTTTATCTAGTGCAAATGCATCCACTTGCCAGGTGTATGATTCAGAGAACTGAGTAAACAATTTTAGAAGGGTAGATGCATTGTTTTTTCTTAACAGAATTGACTTGACGATGTCATTTTTTTTTTTTTTTTTTTTTTTTATTGGCTACAATCTGGAAAGAGGTACCCTTGCTTCTTAAATTGAACAAAGGCTATCTTTTACCAAGTGGCAAAATTGAGAAAATTCTACCTGTTACCTTACTTTTTTTTTCCTTCTGTTTTTCTCCATTTTAACTCAAGCCATATTTTATCTGTTAGAATGAGACTGATTAGCAGACATGAGAATAAACAAATGGTAGAAAAAAGTCAATTAAAAATGGAATCAGTTATGCTTGTTGAGGTAAGTACCTAACAGAATCACATGAAATTTGTGCTATTCAACAATTTTGACCAATGAAAATGGCAATTTCCCATGACTTAATCTATTCATTTTTTCCTGTGAATGTGTTTATCTACAAGGGTCATAATTTCAGCTATTAGGCTGATTTCTAGTTCATATTATAGAATTAAATATATTATCCAAGCAAAGAACAAAATAGATTCTAGTGATTCTATCATCAGGACAAGTTGGAAAACCACTGTCCTAAGAAGAGTGAAAGTTTTAATCAAATGGTAGATATCTTCCCTAAAACAAATCTCTAAAAAATAGAAGATTTTTTTCATTCATTTATTCATACCAGTCATATACATATTTTTGTAGAACAGTATTTTTTAAATACCAATTCTTTTTTTTCCTCTTGATAAATCTAAGTTCCTTAGGTGGGTAAAGGTGGAGTGTAAGTTCCTATCTGGTTACTGTTGTGTCCTCAGGTTCTATAATGGTGCCTGGCATGTAGTAATCATATATGTTGAGTGAATGAATGGATAATTCTCCCTTTCCCTCTTCCCCTCTGCATTCAAGAGCTCTGCTCACTGTCTCTCTGGAGGGCTGTATATTGACAGAATGCAATGAAAAAACAAGTCTTTTCAGGAGTCGATTTTTCCTTACAGGCTTCAAGTTTTTAAACACTGAAGGACTGACTCTTCACAAGGTCAAACTACCGTAGACTTCTCTAGAACTAGAAAGAGTTTCCCTGGAGGCTGTGGGACAAGGGAGCAGTGATAGAAGGGACACAATGAGAGCACAGATGTCTCCTGTGAAGCAGCCTGAGTCTTGAGTATTTCAGAGGCAGAAATCCCTAGAGAGAGAGTGGTTGGTGCAGTTGTTGTTGTTGTTGTTATGTGCCGTCGAGTCGGCCCCGACTCATAGCGACCCCTCCTTGGGTTTCCGAGGCAGTATCACTACGGAAGTAGGATTGCCCAACCTTCCTTCCGAGGAGTGGCTGGTGGGTTTGAACCGCCAGCCTTCTGGTTAGCAGTCAGGTGCTTTAGCCACTATGCTACCAGAGCTCCTAGAGAGAGAGTGATTGGTGCAGAGTAAGGCCAAATAGTCAAGGTCACAAGTGGCTGCACTAAGATTCCTTGGCCATAGGGTGGAATGGAAGCAGAAGAATGATTCTCAAATTTCTCAGTAGGGAGTGGAAGTGATGTAGACGGTCATATGCATACAGGAACAAAGAACGTATTGAAGGCAACCTGCTTGAACCAAGGATTGAGAATTAGATGGAATGACAGAAGTCTCGGTGGACACTTACATGAATGGTTGATATCAAGGGTCAACCTCACCCCATTCAACCCTACCCCACTTTTATAGTTGGAGCTGTGTGTCAACTTGGCTGGACCACAATTCTGTGTGGTTTAAGCAATTGTGGTGTGGATTATTCCCATGATGGGATCAGATATATATGTTTTGAGGAGCCAATCCATTAAAAGGGAGTTTCCCTAGAGGTGTGGCCTGCTTCCAATATATTTATGGACATCCTGGGAAAAGAGACACTCTTCTGTGGATTGGGATTCTGTTGTGCTGCCTACCATTGTCTGTGAGTGAGAAATCCAGCATTTGGCCTGGAGATCTTGGATTCATCATTTGTTGGAGTCAACAGCCAGTATACTGCCTGCCAACCTTGAGCATAGTGGCTAAGACACTTGCCTGCTAACCAGACGGCTGGAGGTTCAAACCCACCAGCCACTCCTCGGAAGGAAGGTTGGGCAATCCTACTTCCGTAGTGATACTGCCTCGGAAACCCAAGGAGGGGTCGCTATGAGTCGGGGCCGACTCGATGGCACATAACAACAACAACAACAACAAGTTTTGTTTCTCTAGAGAACCCATTTGATCTAACACACCCACCCACTCCATACCTTGGCATTATGAAAGAATATCAGAATTTGCACCCAACTATGGGAAGCCCTGGTGGTTAAAAGCTTGGCTGCTAACCAGAAGGTCAGCAGTTCAAACCCACCAGCTACTCCATGGGAAAAAGAAATGGCAGTTTGCTCCCATAAAGATTGCTGACTTGGAAACCCCATGGGACAATTCTACTCTGTCCTACAGGGTTACTATGAGTCAGAATGGATTTGCCAGTGGTCTTTTTTTTTTTTTTTTTTTTTTGGTTTGTGGGAAGAAAAGGGTGAAGTCATAATTGACTGACACCATTATAACACATTGTGTTAATTTATCTACAAATAAAGTAAATTCTATTTCTCAGATACTTGAATTTGTGGTTGAGATTTGTGCACAGTACTGTAAATTTTTTAATGACCTAAGGTTATGAGCCCAGCTCTACAATAATTAATTTGATATGTTTATACCTCATCCTGGGGCAACATAGAGAAGGAAGGTCTATTACTTGGCTGTCACATTTGATCAAAAGTCCTGTATTCTCACCAAGAAAGGTGATTCGGAAAAGAAAGGAAACTTTCCTCAAAGTGAAAAAAACATTGCTAATTTGAATTGAAGATGTTTTAAAATTAATAAACCAAAAAAACCAAACTCACTGCCATCGAGTCAATTCTGACTCATAGCGACCCCCTTTGGGTTTCCAAGGTGGTAAATCTTTACAGAAGTAGATTGCCCAGTCTTCCTTCTGAGGAGTGGCTGGTGGGTTTGAACCACTAGCCTACTGATTAGCAGGTTAGCAGTCAAATGCCTTAGGCCTACACCATCATTGATAATTGTACTGTGGATATTTTATATGGTACAAACTGGTGAGTCAGGTGAAGAAACAATCATTTTTTTTTTTTTTTCTTTTAATCTCTGGTCATAGACAGTGTTTCAATAGTGCCACTGTTGATCTGATTTTCTTGCTGTATGTTAGATAAAATTGCATTTGTATCTAATGCAATAATACAAGAATAAAAATGTAGTATACAAATGGTTCTAAGGTGTTGCCAAGATTGCCAAGAAAAATAAATAAAAATTGCAATATTCCTTTCCACCACTCATCTGCCAGGTTTTCATATTGTAGTGGCTTGCATGTTGCTGTGATGCTGGAAGCTATGCCACCAGTAGGGTCTCCCATGGTGGATGGCTTCAGTGGGTTTCCAGAATAAGGCAGACTAAGCAGAAGGATACGGTGAACTACTTCTAAAAAAATTTGTTGTTGTTGTTGTTATGTGCTATCAAGTTGGACCTGACTCATACCAACCCCTCCTTGGGTTTCCGAGACAGTATCACTACAGAAGTAGATTGCCCAACCTTCCTTCCGAGGAGTGGCTGGTGGGTTTGAACTGCCAGCCTTCTGGTTAGCAGGCAAGTGTCTTAGCCACTATGCTACCAGAGCTCCCCTAAAAAAACTGGCTAGTGCAAATCTTATGAATAGCTTAGAAGGTTTTCTGATATCGTGCCAAAAGATGAGGCCCTCAGGTCGAAAGACACTTAAAATATGACTGGGGAAGAGCTGCTTCCTCAAATGCCCTTAATGATG